CATTTTTTTTCCATACTCTTAAGCATTTTAAGTGCAAAGGTCCTCTCTGATTGCCTACTTGTAAGCAAACAAAGGAAGAACCCCAGAAAGGCTTTCTGATGTGGGAAAATGAAATACCACATCTGTTGCTCCTAAGTACCTGCTTATGCACAGGCTCTTAATCCAAACTTAATGAAATACAGACTTGCTGTTAATAGCAGGTGAACTTCAAATTACCTGTCTTTTCTTTCACTCTATAGAATTCATAAGTAGCAACTTGACACTTCACTGCCCATACACGTACCAACTTGCTTTTACAGCACAAGGTAGGTTAGAGTGATTCAGCCTTAAATGACAGAAAAATGGGACCTTTAAATCATTTAACCATTTTGTTTTACTAGATGTAAAGTCCATAGGCAGAACTGATAGGGAAACTGTTTGCCAGCAACCCTGAAATAACTGCTGGAGGCATACTGTTACTTTGAGATAAATAACGAGGCTCTTCTTTGATGAGCTATTTCCAGTTACCTTATTCTTATCACTGATCAAAAAAACCACAACCCTTACAGACAGTAATTTTGTGGTATATCCCATATCTACTAATATTTCTATTTATCCAACCTCCTAATCCAGGTGTTACGGGAATTTTCATAATGTCCTCACAAAGTTGATAGGGTGACTCCAGCCCTTTTACCTTCCTTTTCCCCCCAAAGTCCTCACTTAAATTCACTCCTAAATAGTCACAATCTTAAGTGACCCATCCTGTATCTTCAAAATGTTATAAGAATCCTTCTCTCAGTATCATAGCTGAGCTTACTGCGCTAAGATAAATGGGCCTTTGAAAATAATTGGAAACTGGACCCAGCTAAAGTATATGTTTGAAGAGTGCTTTGGCTATTGACTCAGTATTTTTGGCCAGTGCTCAAAGCTGTATGACACTGCATTTTTGTCTGTCTGGCTCACAAGTTTAAGACTCTCTGGGCAAATTTTCTGATAATACAGCTGATTATATTTGTAGAGTTTTCATTCAAACCTGAACGCGACAGAGGGCTGACCTTGGATAAGGGATGTGCTTGGATCCTGTTCAATATAATCCTGCAGGAAAAACTGCAGGAAAGCTACTAACAGAAACCAGAATTCTAAAAAATGCAAGCTCATAGCCAAAGTGGAGAGTAGGCAAATAAGCTGATCAGCTTCAGAACAGCAGTTAAACAGAAAAAAGTGGGTATTTATCCTAGGGTAAGAAATTAGTACATAGGTCTGTTTTATTGTAATGGTCTAGCTAATAAGGGCCAGACAGGAATACTGATAAAATAAAGCAGCCTAGAGATAGAAAAAACTCTAGATTTTTAGCAAAATAACAAATACCATACTTAAACTCAACCCTATTCTCCAAAAGTAGCTATCACAAAAGAGTTACCTATCAGCATGAACTAAGTATATGCAAATAGTATTTTCTTCACTGAGAGCACTGTATGCTCAGCACCTCAGAGGATTCATTCCAATACAACGGTGCAACTGATTATGAAGCAAATATACATTATAATAAATAAACTAATTTAAGAGACAAAGAAAATTATTCTGAGGTGCTGTTCATCTGCAATTTCATTAAAGGAGGTTGTTTTTTCTAAGAGCGGAATTAGAAATTGAATATTCAAATTTAAAATTACAGAAAGATATATGTGTTATGGACCAAGGCGAAAGAGACCTTGATTGGGAACAAGTATATGAACCTACATAAACTAGAAATAACTTTTAAAAATATTTTGCAATTTTTTGATACTAATTCCTTTTTGCTTTTATCTAGCTTTTTCCTCACCTCTTTACTTTCTTCCCTATAGTCTTTGAGTTTACAAGGCTCCTCACTGAAGAACAGGCATCACATAGTTTTGCCTTAATTTATTTCTCAAAACTCACTTGGAATCAGGAAGTAAAGAGTCTCACCTTGCAACATAAAGGGTCAAGTCAACAGAGAGTCAAAATTGGCCTTGCTGCACTGGGATTAATGAGGTTAGGCTGATGTATGTGAACTCTCAATTGCCAGATCTTACTTATCTGGCGAAAATACTTTTGCTATCTGCATGCAGGGAATTTGATGGGGAAGATCAAAGGAGAGAAAGAGCTGGGGGAAAAGAAACGGAAGAAAGAAAGGGAAAAACAACAGTGAGTTCCTTCCTTTACTGAAATAATTTACACTTCAGGAGTGTGACATTTTCTTACTTTTTGATCTGTTTTTCTATTTGCAGCAAAGTCAATCATGCCAAAAAGAACCCTTTCATATGCTATGCTAGTATCGTCTCAATCTATAGAGGAAAAAGCAAACAAGATCAGCTTAATGCTTATTTTCAGAGATAAACCATACTGAACTACTGAATCTTGTGGGAAAAATAAGAAATTGAAGTTCCACCAAAAGATATATTCACTTTATATGTTATGTACACAGTATTTCTGAAGTTATTGCAACACTTTTTTCTCTAAGAGAACTGTGAGAACTGTGCGGTGGCTTTCATCTGTCTTTTAGGTTTTAACTGGTTTTATGTTCTTTTACAGAAATACATAAGCCCACATATGGATTCATACATACATATGCATACATTCATTTAATTTATAAATATTAATATTCTCCATAAGGCAAAAATTCAGGTGGAGATTGTACTCATAATAGTTCTGAATGACAACTTATCTTTGGGATCAATCTGAATTATAATGTGGTGCTTTGTAAACACAATAGTACATTACAGTAGTGTAATAATCAACCCGGGGCTTGAAATTTACATCAAAACACTTAAATATAGTGCATTCAAATAACCTTACTTCTGTAGTCGTAGGTTGGGAAGCTTGAATTCTGACTTTCTATTCTACTTCTAACATTGTACTGTATGCAAGTTGCCAAATAATGGTATTTCATTTTGACGTAAATAAAATACTGTTTATTTGCAATTCGCTATCCAAGAGAAAAATGAAGAAGAAGATGGAAGCAGAAGCAGCAATTGGACAAGCAGATGTAGATGTGCATTTGGATACCAGATCTCTGGATAGCAAAGGAGCATACAGTACCCAGCACCTCGAAGATAAACAGCTTGGAAAACACTATCAGGAAAGCACTGCACTAACTGTGTTGTACCAGATAACAAGATAATGCTCTCCAAAGGATGCGCAGGAGTTCAGTCCTCTATATCACCTCCTGTTCAGAGCAACAGCAGAAGAAGCAAGCTGGGCAATCTTAACATTTTCTGTTTGTCAGTACTATCAGGTACTTAGAACACTCAAATAATTTCTGAGGTTGAGCTAGTTTTGCTTTTGTCTGCAAGTGGCTTTGAAAACCCAACCAAACAGAAACATGATGGTGATGAAGCCTGGTAAGCAGCAGATGCTCACAATGCCAGACTGGAAATGATGAAGTCAAGCGGTTCGGCCACTTAAATTTCACGACGGATGGTGATGTTCCAGTAACGAATAGATGCTAGAGATTCACAATGGCTTATTCAGCATCCACATACACTGAATAAAGAGACTCGAAAAAGAAACACACACAACCACAAAAGCCAAGCTGGTAGAAGCACTGATTTGGGTAATTGCTAGAGATAGATGAATATGACAAGTCAATGGGTATGAAAAGCTGGACCCAGATGGCAGCAGGTAAGAAAAGATCATAGTATTTACTATGCAGCATAGCTGTCAGCGATACAAGGACAGATCACTCCATTTATATCAGGAAAATGGAAGAGGATCTTTTCATTGCTGTGGGAAGATCAAGGTATTAAAATTACACATGTACATACGTCAAGAAGTGAAGACCAATTGCGGGACGGACACAGGAACATTTAAGCAGCTCCTTTTAGGATTGCATGTCTGACTTCAGAATGTTTGATCCAAGAAAGCCCGGCAACTGTTTAAGACCTTCTATAGTGCTTTGTAAAATATTAAAATGTTATGTAGTTGAGAACATTTGCTCTGAGTTGTGATATGTTTGAGGAAGGCCAGTGATTTCACTGGGGAATCCTATGGATGAAATGAAGAGCACAAGTTAGTTCCCCTAACAATCTTCGTACTTGATTGGGCTTAAACAATGAAAGGGTGCTTTTTCAAAACCACATTAGAAAACAATCTTGTTTCAAGAATCTTGGGTCTCACAAATCACCATTATTTTGAAAACACACTCAGGAGAGTGAAGCATATTATATATTTACATACATATGGTCTTGAGTTAGAAGGTGTCATGGGGCTAATACTAGGGCGATCCATTAAAAGAACAAAACAAAAAAATCATGAAGAGCAGCAATTGCTACTGCTTGGTTCTAGGGATCTCCCAGAGGCACAGAGTCCAACATTAGGAGGGTTAAAGAAAAAATAGTTTTAAAATGTAGAAAAATCATTGTTTATAATACTACTGCTGCTGCACATTCCTGACTATTTCTAAAAAATGTTTGTAGGACGTTTGCAGTGTTCATTGAAAATAACTGAAATAACGGGCTGGGAATTAGAGTATATAATCATTGTGCTTGCCAACAGCATCTGAAAACAGCATGTGCATCAAAAATTTAAATATTTTGCTGGCCTTCCAGAGTTCTTGCTAAACCTAGTGTGCATTGGAACCTGGGTGAATGAAATCCCATTAGTCATCACCATCTTAACAATATGCACTTCATACAGAGCTGGTTTCTGCACAGAGGAAGGAAATTACTAGTACTAACAAAGGAAAGAAGATTTATCATGAGCAAATATACAAAAGCTCCAAATAATTATAATATTCACAGCTTGGCAATGACTTTCTAGGCTATGAAATTACTTTTCTTGTGGAAGAATGAAGATTTTTACAAGGTTTCTATAAACAAAGGGTAATTGGAAAATCAAATTGCTCTGCGCAGCTTATTATAAAGTCTGGAATAATGACGATAACATTTTAAAAAGCCTGCTCATGAATCACTGTATTTTTGTTTTGTATGTTATTGCCATCTAAAACGCTCCCTTTCAAGTGCTACATGAGAAACATAAATGGCTAAATACAGATACCAGCTTACCCCTGATACAATAAGTTCTCCTCCCAGGTTCTGAACTTCTGCCTTCACTTTGCTGCAGATATTGAGTTGGTGGCAGTAGAGCGCAATGCGCTGCAGGTAGGCTAGCAGGTCCTGCTTGCAGGCTGAGTCCGGGCACTGCAGAGAAAAGAAACATTTGATTAGGTGGAGCTGAGTTTATATGATTAATGAGAGGGAATCAAGAGTGGAAATGTGTGTGTATTAGGAGGATCCATTTAATTTCATCTTTACATGAGATACCTATGAAATGTAAAAATTCAAACTCTACCTTTTGTTTAAGCCCAGACTTCTGAATTATAACCTGAAGATACGCTGCACATTTTGCAAACAGAAGAAACCTGTAAGCCACTAATGAAAGACAATGAAAATAATATGATCGCTATGTTTGTGGGGGAGGGTAACTTACGATATCACTTTATACAGAAGAGAAGAATCTACTGAGAAGTCAGAAGACCCAGTTTGACCTGGGATTCTAGGTTGCCTGCTGGGTGCCCGGGTTACAATGCAAAATGGACCAGTTAAAGTCCAGACAAACCCAGCTCTGACTGATTACATCTACTCTAATGCCAACTCCTGACTGTCTTGCCACCTGAGCAGACCTTCAGAGGACACAGCTTTGCTTCTGGCTTTGCCCCTTACTGACACACTAAAGACTGAAGAGGTAGAGGTGAGGCTCCTTGGGTTTGTATTGCCAGATTTGGCAAGCTTGTTACTAATGCATAAATGCCTTAATCTGTGCCAGAAGGATGTTATTTACTCAAGTGTGACATATTACAGAACTGTTCAACACGTGACATCAGTATTGTAGCCCTTCTCATGAACACAGTGAGGTAAGCTGGTCCCTCTGCATGCCTAAGGGACACCTGTTTATAGGAGCAGGAAGGCTGTCTACAGTCCTGTACTATTTTGGATGCTGTGCATCTCAAATGTGGTTTGATGAAAATGACATTTTGGTCAAATGTGGTAGACTCAGTGAGGGTTTTATAATCAACGTAACTAGTCTTTGGGACTCTTAATAGAAGCTGCATCACCCTCCACAATATCAACAGCATAATAAACAACGTTCTCATAGTTAATATTCGAAGTCTTGCCTCAAGAGAACAGATCTCAGTAATTCGTTCTGATGAAACATTGCAAAAAGAGTCCATGGCTAACAACATATCTCCAGTAAATACTCTTCGGAGCTACCCAACAAACTCTGCCTGACGATGTTTTGATTCTATGTTCTTTGCACGTAGAGCTTGGGGAACAAAGATTCCGAATGTCTCTTTATAGCATCTTACAAAGTTTATGCTCAATTTTTGCAAAACACTATCAGTGCGGTTCACCAAAAACCAATAGGATTAAACACACACAAGTCAATAGCATCACAGCCTGTGACTTGAGATGTCTGCTCTACCACTGACAGCTAATGCTGGCAAGCGATATGTTTGCAGTGAAGTAGTTGCATATACTGTCATCTGTAACCCTGAAAGCAGTCACTTTGTTTTTATCTCCCTTTAAAACTTACAATAAACAAAGCTGGAGGTTCACTGTGGCAGTTGGGTTTAGTCTGCTCTATACTTACAGCAATGCTATAATGCCTCACTTTCTCAGACTGTTGCCACATCTTTCAGGCGCGAATCCCTAAGAGACCTCTTCTCCTGCCCATAACAATTTAATACAGAAATATTTATCCTACTCTTGAAGTCTATGACCTGAAAGAAACGAACTTTAAAGCCATACTTCTAGAGACTGGACAAGGCTTTAAATACAACTACCTTGAAGTGAATGAAAATGTAAGATCTCTCTCATTGGGACAGTAATTAAAAATGCAACTATCCATAAAAAGTTTATATGGCATGAGTGTCTCCAAAGTTTTATAAAATATCATCAAGGCACAAGCATTAAAACAAACACTTCATTCGCGCGGTGATTTTACTGTTTATTATTAAAGTGTGCATGCTACAGCCTTCTGAAAATTAAAATATGACTCAAGCACTCTAAGCACGGCAAGTCTCTTGGTGCTTCTTTCTTTAACATATTCCACCTCTGCAAATCTTGTAGACTAGGAATTTCATCAGTTGACAGATGGATTTCTTCTTTCTTATGCTAAGATGAACAGATGCTACGTTTGCAGGATTGGAATGGGTTAACTGCAGGAAAAATGCTTGCTGTTAATGAGGAAAACCTAAACCTGAAATTTCTAAGGTGATAGGAAAATGGGCAGCTTCAGGTTCTTTGTCACTCTGGCTCATATTCCCTGGCAGGATGTGTTACATGCTAATACACACTTTCATGAAAAAGAAAAACACTTATTTCAAAGAGAAAGACTAGAGACAAGGAAGTTACTTCCAGAAAAATTTATCCTGATAACAATGAAAGGAAAGAAACTAGGAAATTTTCAAGGGGGGGAAAAATAAGTCAAAGCTAATTTGCTTAAATTTAAAATTAGGTACCTAGAACCCGGATTTGAAATCTGGCTCTTGACTTTTATTATGATGCTTCCTCTTGCTCTCCAGAGGGATAGATAACCCAGTCTGAAAGAAATGGACTGAATGTAGCAATTTTTGCTTTCCAGTTGTGACATGAATTTGGTAATGGGACTGAGGACGTGGACTCTAGAACATGGAGCAGGGGCTGTGAGGTGAAAGCACAACGTCTTGATGCAGAGCAGAAGAAAGGGAGTCAAGGACGCTTGAAAAATAAAAAGTGTCATATCAAGAGGAATTGATGGAAGAACAAGCTGAAAAAGTTACAAGGATTCCTGGGCATATGGGAAGGGTAGCAGAGCATCCAAGTCTTCATGACTTTCATGACAGCAAATACATCGGTCTAATTCTAGTACAATCACCTGGGTCCAGAAGTGAAGTTGTGGAATAATTCAGGCATTTCTGAGGTTTAGAGAGACTCATTTATGACTTTCCTGTATTACAAAACCCAGACTGATTGGTATGGAAGAAACAACTTAGATTTGATGGGTAGATCAGTGTCCAGGCAGTGACTTTCAATGGGTAGTTTTCTGCCAAATAAAGATAACCTCTTCCTCCAAATGGCAACTTGTCGATAGACGTTACTTTACATTTCTGCTCATTTTTTGTTGTTACCTGATCAGCTACTGCCCGTGCCAATTTGTCCATCCTTGATCCTGCCTCTGCAATCTTCTTGGCTGCATTAATGACATCTGATGTGTTCTTCAGGGGGCCTTTACCTCTGTGAAATACAATAATTATGCACAACCTGAATAAATCGTGAAAGGCAACAGTTTTAGTGACCCTGTTTAATGTTTGATTTTAAAATAGTAACACGAATGACTTCTTTATTACAATTTCACCCATTAACTACTTTATAGTACAGCTTGATTAAGAAATCGGTCTGCTATATTTCTTCTCTCTTACAAAATGCCTCACTAGCAATTTAATCTGACGTTACCTTCAAGCACATGAGCTATACTTAATGGTATATGCATTTTTAAGTGCTCATTAAGCCAAAATTCTTTCTAGAATACACAACTATTTCAAAATTCTCTTATTCCCAAGCCAGTGCTAAATGTTAAGCCTGTCATGTCTAGAGCAAGAATGTCACATTCTAGAAAACCTTTCTTAGTAGATTTTTGTCAGAAAACAAAGAGACATGAAGCATAATCTTATGTTACATTTAAATATTACACTTAAAACGTGTATAATTAATTAGCTTTAAGACTGATCTTTCACTGTACTTCTAATTTGATGCACAAAACTCTTATTTTAGTCATTAGAGTTACCAAAATGTATGTAGACACAAAGGAAAGTCACTGCTGTCTTCTCTGTTTGCTTCAGACTCAAAACTTTCATCTTGTTTATAATAATAAATTTGCTACTGCTTCTGAGAATTGTTTAGTTGGAAATGAGCTGGTTTTCCTTTCTTTCTGGTTTCTTTTTGTTTTTTTTTTCTTATACCATGTGGAGAAATACAGCTTCAGAGAAGGCGGATGGAAAATTGTAATGTGATAAAACTTGGGGTTTCATTAAACTAAACATAGCACAACACAGGTTGTTTGGGTTTTTTTGCATTTTTTCATCTATAATGCCAAGAATAACATACTGAAACATATACCCACTTTTATCTTCTTCATTTCAACCTTAAACATATATTGAAATACAAGTATAACACTTTTGCTGAATTTAAACTGTAACAAAAATCCTTCAGAGTGACTGCGTATGCTTCTACACTCATTGCATCAGCAGATCTGACTGTCACAAATTCCATGCATTTGAAAAATTGTTCTATTTTAACACTGCTGATGATACAGTCAACCAAAAAGGTGAAAGGCTTTGTTCGGTTTTAATGGAATATATTAAGGAAGTTTTTATTGAAACTGATGTAGAGGTGCACTTTGACTTTTTTTTTTTTAATTTACTTCAAATGTAACAGCAGTTTTCTCTCGTTCTCTTATTAGTTCTGTTCTTTTTGATGGTAAGAAAACGTAATTCCAAAACTTTCAATTTGCTGTTTGATGTATTAAATGGAGGTTGCAGAAAGCGTTCATATTCTGGGCTGTTGTTTTAGAATATTTTTTTTTCCTTCCCTGAAATGATGGCACTGTTTGGACAGTTTTTCACTCTGCTTTAGGTCAGAAGGACCCAAAGATAACCTAAATACAAAAGTAATTAAGATTCCTTTGAAGTATCACCCTTCACCATAGGTTCTACGCTGTCATTTGGTACACAAGAGTGGTGAGTCTACTGCGAAAAGAATAGTTGTAAAAGCACAAACTGAGAGAAAAACAAATGAGAGAATAATTACTTGGAAAGAAGTACAGTAGTAATCTATTAAAGTAAGCAAACTTTCTATATGCATAATTAAATTTTAAATGGATAAATATGTTTGCTGCTGTCCATTACCAATTAACTAACTATGCAAGTGCAAACAGTCAAGTTATTTGCACATTAATGGTATTTATACACCTTCCCATCCGTCTCCCTGTCCATCTGTCTGTCTATCTATCTATATAAGGGATGTGTGAATCCTATATTGTCACTGCAGAGACTGTCTCCTCTGAAATGGGTTGAAGGCTCCAGACACAAAGCATATAATGAGCTGGAGAATAAGAAATCTATCTGAGCATCTCAGGGAAATGAATAAATGGATGTTTTATTTTAACTCTGAAGAAAACCATGAAGATTTTTGTCCAGTTCTGTCTAATCACATTTTGATAAATACCATTTAAACTTCTGAACTCTCATTAAAAATAAACACTGAAAACCCTTTCATTTATTATGGTGATATGTAATTCAAAGAATCTTGTAAAATGTTCTCCCTGGTGTGATTAACAATATGACTATATATAAACAAAATAATTCTGTTTACATGATATCATTAATGAATGGCCTTTCGATGCTTTGCAATTAGAAAAGAACAAGACATCAATAGAAAAGAGAGATGAAAGCAAAGAAAATCATTACTGACAGGCTCCAATAATGTATTAGATCAAAACAGTTTTGTTTCATTTGGGATTTTCTTGGCAAGAAGTTCAGTGTTTAAAATGATATAAATAGTTTTGCCATTATTTTTGATTGACACAAATTGTACTGAAATGTTGAAAGTTCACATGCATTTAGATGGGTACTAAACGAAATGTCAGTTGAGCGTCTCCAAGGTCACAGATTATCTTTGCTGCTGAAATTCAAGATGATATTCAGATAAAACAGATTCACAAATGGGACAAAAACTCCATGTGATTAATCCCATTTCGAGAAATAGCCAGAGCAGTAATGTGTAGCAAACTGTACAACCCATCCCATTATGTATGATGTGTGTTAGCTGGCTTTGCGTCCCTCAGAAACACAGCATATCATCTCAAGAGGCTACAAATTGCAACGAAAGTTAAAGATGTGGGATGTCTGAAGAAGTCCTCAGCACAGGTTGTTCTGTCCTTACCTAGTAAAGTCTGTCATTTCCATCATAATCATGCACATCTGCTTTGCCAACACAATGATGTCATTACCACTGTCATCCCACTTGGCCACCTCTGCATCCAGTTTGCTCTTTTCTTGGTGGAATATCTCTACCTGCTCGGCAATCTTAGCCTTCTCCTCCTGAGGAAGTTGAGCCATGATAGCCTGGAGAAAAAACGGGAGAAGTTGGGAAAGAAAAAAGGAGTCTAGAAACAATATACAGTGGTTCAGAGAGCACGTCCAACTTTTAGGTTTTTTAATGTGAGTCAAAGATGCCAAGCAAAATCCAGAAGACATTAGATTTTTCTCAGGATGGCAAAACCAGATTCACAGGATGTTTATATATGTTTATTTATATGTTTATATATGTTTATCTTATACCTTCAAGAACTTAAAAATTATATGTGATGCCATGATGCACATCCATGGAAAGATAGTATGGTTTGGGTTGGAAGGGATCTTGAAGATCATCTCGTTCCAACCCCCCTGCCCTGGGCAGGGACACCTCCCCCCAGCCCAGGTTGCTCTAAGCCCCATCCAACTTGGCCTTGAACACTTCCAGGGAGGGGCTGCCACAGCTTCTCTGGGCAACCTGTTCTAGCATTTCACCACTCTCACAGTGAAGAATTTTTTCCTTACATCTAATCTAAATCTACCCTATTTCAGTTAAAAGCCATTACCCATTGACCTATCATAACATTTCCATCTTTCCATGTTTCCATCTTTTCCATGTTTCCATCTTTCTATGTCCCCTCTCATCGTTCCTGTAGATTCATTTCAAATACTGGAAGGCCACTATAAAGTCTCCCTGGAGCCTTCTCCAGGCCAAACCACCTCAATTCTATCAGCCTGTTCTCATAGGCACTCCAGCCCCCTGACAATTTTTGTGGTGTCCTCTGGACCATCTCAAACAGGTCCATGTCTTTCTTTACTGGAGGCCCCAGAGCTGAACACAGTACTGCAGGTGGGGTTCCACAAAAGCAGAGTAGAGGAGGAGAGTCACCTCCCACAACTTGCTTGCCATGCTTCTTTTGATGCAGCTCAGGACGCAGTTGGCTTTCTGGGATGTGAGCACACATTGCCGGCTCTTGTTCAGTTTTTCATCCACCTACACCCCCAAGTCCTTCTCTGCAGGGTTGCTCTCAATCCATTCTTCGCCCAGCCTGTATCTGTGCTTAAGATTGCTCCAAGCAGGTGCAGGACCTTGTACTTGGTCTTGTTGAACTTCATGAGGGTGGCACAGGCCCACCTCGCCAGCATGCCCAGGTCCCTCTGGGTGGCAGCCCTTCCCTCCAGCACGTTGACTGCTCCACACAGCTTGGTGCTGTCAGCAACCTTGCTGAGGGTGCACTCAGCCCCACTGTTTATGTCATCAACAAAGATGTTAAACAGCACCGATCTCAGTACTGACCCCTGAAGAACACTGCTCATCACTGGTCTCTAAGTGGACATCGAGCTGCTGATCAAAACACTTTGAGTGCAACCATCCCATCAATTCCTTATGAACAGAGTGGTCCATCCATCAAACCCGTGCCTCTCCATTTTAGAGACAAGAATGTTGTATGGTACAGTGTCAAATGCTTTGCTTATTCACCAGTTTCTACAGGAAGATTTAATAAAATTCCTGTTAAATCTTAACTTTCAGGAAGAATAAAATGAATGAACCCTACGGGAAAATGTAGACTGGATTGGCTGCATGTACTCCAGTCTCATTCCCTGTCAGAAACAGAAGTTTTCTGCTTAACCCAAGACTAAATATGCTATGACATGCAATATAATACCCTTGAAGTGAACTGTAATGAATGTACCTTTCAATAATATTTAGTGGTCTTACTGTCTCTTGGAAGATATGCAAAAAGACACTAAACAGGTTGATACTAATCTGCCTCGACAGTATCAACAAAGCAGAAAGTTCCCTGCCCTCTCAAAAAAAATAGAAAAAAGAGATCCCCACAAAATTATAATAATTACTTTTGAAGATCAAATGGACACTTCCAATAATGATTTCCAAGTTGAGCTACTATTTGGCTTTAGGGGTTCTGAAGACCACATTATGCATTTAATGGGGTGTGACATATATTTAAGTGTCATTACATTTTTTCTTGTTTATGTCACTTTCAATCAGCTGAAGTCTTTCTCTACATATTCTTAAAATGCTCTTGGCTTTTAAAAATTCATAATTGACCTTTTCCAAAACTGAAATTAAAAAGGTTATAAACAGTAGATCAGAAAATGAGAAATTTGCAAGTTAATCACATTAAAATTCAATGCATGGTTTTAATTAGGCCTTATCAATGCAACTCAGCAGTTTCAAATGTTAGCATATTAGTCTTTCGACAGAAAAATGCAATGTAAGTCAAGCTAATAAATAAATATATAAAATCCACATAAAACATTAGAACAGATGAATTAATTGAAATTAAGAATGTGATAGAAGTAGTAAAATTTGGAAAGGCAATCTGTATATCTCACATGTGGTTTCTCTTTGTGGGCAGCTTTATCTGCACATCCTTTAAACTGGTATACGGTGTTTTAACATTTCTATTCCAGCTGCTGATCTGTTTTCAAAGAAGCTATATCCCACAGCAAATGCAGCTCATACATTCAAGTTCTATTTCTACCGAAGACCAACACAAGTCTTTCTACTGAAATACTATTAGCTTTATAGACTAAGCATATTAAACAAATCCATCACATTCCACAAATAAAAATCCAGCTTCTCTACAGAAAAGGTTCATGTAAGACATTATTCTGCTCAGCAGACTCAATTCAATGAGTCACTCAAGGCTGTGGACTGGGTGGCTTCTGCTTAGTGTGTTTTCATTTCAGGTTTTCATTGTTTGTGGCTGCTTGTGACATATTGCATTCTACGTTATTCAGGAATAGGACCGTATTTATAATATATTATATAGTGTGCAGCTGATCAAAGCAGAAGGTTTTAAGTGCAGCAGTGATAATAACTGCAATAAATGTAATAGAATTTAAGACTCCTAAGTCCCTAGGTGAACTACATTTTTAGTAAAAATATTACTGCACTCTTTACTTGGCTTTCAGATCATGAAAAGATGATATGCTGCCCAATTCTAGATGTAACAAAAAAAAAACAACACGTAAAAAAGGCTGTGAAATAACTGTATTTTGTATCTGAGACTTACTTTAGTTGGCAATTCATTGAATATATCGAATAGGACTTTATGCTTTTTAAAATATAAGAAACCCTCGAAGATAGTCAACTGCATCCAGAACATAGTTCTGTCATTGTTCTCAGGGTAAGGCATCCAGGTATCGTTATGCAACTTTCCTAACTGCATAGTTTTCAATGCCAGTTCCTTGTCACCCATCTCTCTGGCAGGAGCCTTACAATCCATCTGCTCTTCATCTAGGTGCTAATGATATATACAACACGTCCCTTATATGCAAGGACAGATTTTTTTTTCCTTGGGCTGTAGTGACAGAAAGCCAGCTTTTCTGACACATGGTATGGTTTATTTACCTTTTAGATTCAATATTCAAGGAAATTAAGAAAAATAGGAAACCTCTGCCCATTCCACTGTGTCTGTCTCTCACTTCCCTCATACATCTAAGTAAGCTTCATGTAGGTTTGCACTACTCTACTGTTTCATTTCAGAGCAGAAAATGTTTGTGTCAGGCCCTAACATACTTGACTCATACATGTGGGTCTTTCTACAGCAGCTGAAAACTCCGTCCTGGTCCTCTGAACGTGTCAAAGCATCATTGCCTTTTTGTCTTCAGGTTCTCAGCACTAGAAATCCACTTCCAGAATTTGAGGTAAGAATTCACGGTTTCATTTACCACCAATTTTTGCTACAATGTTTGAGTGTGTACATGGGGAGAATGTTTCTAATTCAGACCATTATTCCATTTTTAGTATTTATTAGAAGAAACAACACCCAGGAAAATCATTCCAGTAATTCACAGTTCCCCACTGGTGCTCTGCTGGAAAATTTTAAAGCTTTTCTTTTAAACTCTCCTTCCAGTCAAAGAGGTTTTCATAGAAACACAGAATCACAAGCGGGCCCCGAGATCATAGAATCATACAATGGTTTGGCTTGGAAGGGACCTCTAAGGGTCATCTAGTTCCACCCCCACGTCATGGGCAGGGACCCCTCCCACTAGACCAGGTTGTTCAAAGCCCCATCCACTTTGATGGCCTGAAACACTTCCAGGGAGGTGGCATCTACAACTTCTACGGGCAACCTGTTCCAGCATTTCACCACTCTCATTATAAGGAATATTTTTTTACATCTAGTCTAAATCCACCCTCTTTTAGTTTAAAACCATTACCTCTTGTTCTATTGCAACAGGTTCTCCTAAAAACTTTGTCCTCATCTTTCTTATAGAATCACAGAATCCTAGAATGGCCTATCCTAGAAGGGACCTTAGAGATCACCAAGTCCAACCTCCCTGTCATGGGCAGGGACGCCACCTCTCGACTAGACCAGGCAACACATGGGGAGTTATAGGCTCCCTTTAAGTACTGAAAGGCTGCTATAAGGTTTCTCTGGAGCCTTCTCTTCTCTAGGCTGAACAACCTCAACAATCTCAGCCTGTCCTCATAGGAGAGGTGCTCCACTCCTCTGGTCATTTTGTGGCATTCTCTGGAGCCACTTGAGCAAGTCCATGTCTGTCTTGTGCTGAGGACACCAGAGCTGAACATAGAACTGCAGAGGGGATCTCACAAGAGCAGAGTAGAAGAGGAGAATCTTCTCCCTCGACCTGCTGGCCACGCTTCTTTTGATGCAGCTCAGGATGCCACTGGCTTTCTGTGCTGTGAGCACACATTGCCAGCTCATGTCCACGTTTTCACCCACCAGTACCGCAAGGTTCCTGGAATGTGTGGAGGATAACTTTCTCACACGGCTGGTAAGTGAACCAACCAGGGAAAGCGCCCTGATGGACCTCCTCTTTCTGATCAGAGAAGCTCTTGTGGATGAAGTAGCAGTTGGAGGCTGACTAGGGAACAGTGACCATGAAATTATTAAGTTTTCTATTCTCAGAAATGTTAGGAAGGGGAACAGCAAAACTGCTACTTGGGACTTGCTAAGGGCAGACTTTGATTTGTTCGGGAGATTACTTGATAGAATCCCTTGGGAGTCAGTTTTGAAGGGTATAGGAATCCAGAAAGGCTGGACACTCTTTAAGAACGAAATCTTAAAGGCACAGGAGCAGGCCATCCCCACGTGCCTTAAGATGAGCCAGTGTCACAGAAGACCGGCCCAGCTGAATAGGGACATTTGGCTCAAAATCAGGGAAAAAATGAAAGTTTATGGCCTCTGGAAGAAAAGGCAGGCTACTCACAATGAGCACAAGGATACTGTTAGGTCATGCAGGCAGATAAGTAGAAGGTCCAAAGCCCAGCTAGACATTAATCTGGCTTTGAAAGTAAAGGACAGCAAGAAAAGCTTCTATAAATACATTAATAATAAAAGAAAGACCAGGGAGAGCCTCCATTCCCTGCTAGACCCAGGAGGAAATAAAATGATGGAAGTTGAGGATAAAGCTGAGGTGCTTAATGCCTTCTTTGCCTCAGTCTTTAGTAATAGAAACACCTGTACCAAAGGATGCCAGCCCCTAAAGCCAAGAGACGGGCCAGAAGCAAAAAGTCCCCCTCACAATTGAGGAGAGTCAAGGACCTGCTTCTCCACATCGATGTCCAAAAGTCTATGGGGTCAGATGGGGTACATCCTAGAGTCCTGAGAGAAGCGGCGGGGCTGCTCACTGTCCATCATTTATCAGCAGTCCTGGCTGACTGGGGATGTCCCAGCTGATTTGAAGTCAGCCAATATAACACCCATTTATAAGATGGGATGGAAGGATGATCTCAGAAATTACAGGCCTTTCAATTTGACTTCAATTCCTGATGGAGCACATCATCCTGAGTTCTACTATACAGCACATACAGGTGATCAGACCCAGTCAGCATGGGTTTGCGAAGGGCAGGTCCTGTTTAACAAACCTGATCTCCTATGTCTGGGTGATCCGCTGGTTGGATGAAGGACAGGCTGTGGGTGTTGTCTACCTTGACTTTAGTAAGGCATTGGACCTGTTGCTCACAGCATTCTCCTAGAGAAATTTACTGCTCTTGGCTTGGATGGGCACATGCTTTGCTGAGTGAAAAACTGGTTGGGTGGCCAAGTCCAGGGAGTTGTGGTCAATGGAGTTAAATCCAGTT